ATTCAACCTTGTCTTACTTTTGTATAGAGATGGTACATATTTCACAAAATGAAAAAGGTAATTTTTCAACTGTGAGAGACAATTGTAGTTACAAAGGCATTGGCAGTTTCTCTCCTGAAGTCAGAGTTTCATTTTCTGTATTTTCACACCAGCTTTACAGACATTGTATCCAAATTCAGCAGGTGGTAGGGCCCAACAGGTGGCTCTGAATAATCTTCAGTAAAACACAAACCTGCCAAAAATGCATAGAGAATTAGGTACTCCATGGCCTGTGCTTATTCACTGCATATTGCCATTCTGGAGTAACTTCATTTCCACTGATTATCTGTTCTGACAGCTTTGGGAGAATCCACCCCATCAGCCAGTTTATCCAGGTACCTACAGGCTAAGGGTCAGTAACATCAGTGTCCCTTCCCATGACTTTGTTCTTCATAGCAAGCTAGGAAAGCCATGTTGGTGGCCAGAAAGCTAGGAACAACAGTGATTTTTAAATGTTGATGAAGAGTTACATTTTATTAATTTTATACATTTTATACATGTTCTGTTTGAAAGCCTCTGGGCAGCTGTGCCTATTTTCTATTATTTCTGCCTTGGTGTCCAGTGTTCCTGGACAGAAATCACATCTACAAATGGTCCTTTCAGCAAGCTTGTCCAGTTCAGATATCTGCTATGGTTTCTATTTTGCACACTTCATGCAAATATTATCATGTAGCACCTAATTGTGCTTTGTGGAGGGACAATGTACTGCTCAGATAAGCAGGTAAAAAACAATTAAATGTCTCCCTTCATAGAAGCCAAGTGTTTACCTTTTTTCTTTTTTAAAAACAGAATGTTAGGTTAGTTGTTGGATAAAATGTATTAAGTGCACTGCTTTCCCCTCAAGATGTAATTTTATTGCTTTTATTATTTAAGGACACACAAAACGACTATAAGATATTTTTTACAGGCACAAGTACCCCCGAAGTATGATTACGTGTGATGGAAATATGTACTCTTTTCCACTGTAATTTTAATATCACTGTTATTTCTGGACAGTATGGTCAGTCTGATGGTTCTGCATACTAACACCTTACAGTGACATCATCTACTACAATTCTTCATTCCATTTTCTGACCTGAAAAGGCTCCTATTCCTAAATTAAGTGAAAAAGATAAGCATCATATCCATTCATCTTTTTATCTCTGTGTCCTCAAAATATCTGTGAGGACCTGTAATCCTGTGTTTTGAGTGCTGGATTGAAGGGTTAGAAGGCCTAGAAAGGCACACACCACCAGCTATCCATCTGGAAATATATTTATGTACTTCTGAAGAGTTAAGAATGCAAGGTGGGCTGCAGGGGATTATTTAAATTGTATCTAAATGTCTGACACTGATTTTTTTCAAGACTCCCACAGATTTTCTCTGAAAGCCTGTGAAACCATATCACAGATGAGATTGAAACACTTCCAAGAACTTCTCTCCTGTGTCAGCTTCTAGACAGGCACAACAGTATTCAAACTCTGGCTTTGAAGAAGACCACCATTATGGCACCTTTTTGGTCTCAAGAGAGTCTTAGACAAGATATTTAATGAAAAATATTTTTAATCTATATTAGATGCTTCTGTTGTGGTGGAGAAACTTCAATACACCATGGTGTTTGTCCTTCTGTAGGATGGGAGAAATGGAATGTAGAGCAAACACTGTAAAGCACAGAAGGCTTTATGTCCATTATGTGCTACAGCTTCCTTCAGCAAACAACACGGATCAGTGTCCTAGGTTGACTGTATGATGCTTTTATCCCCAATTGTCTGCCCTGCTTATGTTGAACAATAAGTTTTACACCTTTAAGGCTTGTTCCAAGAGTGAAGGTGGGGGAAGAAGCGTGGAGTTTGTTTTCAAGAACTCATTCCATCCCCCACATTCCTGCTCCTGGACTGTGTTGTCTGCAGATGGACAGACAGTGAGACTGAGCTCTCCTTTGTTTTTCTAGTTAGTTTTAGCTAGCTGAGGCAAAGAAGTTCCCTGGACTGTGTTTTTTTTCCCCTTTCTCTGGACCTGCTCTGGACTGAACACCCAGAAGAGCAGCAGCAGCAGCAGGAGCACCTCTGGCCCAGCAGGCTGGGCCTGGGCTGCAGCATTCCCAGCGCCGGAGGCACTGATAACAGACTGAGTGAGCTGAGCTGCAGCTTGGGGGAATTTTCTGAGTTTGTCTCTTTCTTGGAGTGGCAAGAAGTTTTATTGTTTAATATTGTTTAGGTTTGCTTGTTTAATAAACAGTTTTTTTCCACTTTTCTCCAAGGAGGTATATTTCCCGAACTGGTTGAGCGGGAGGGGCCAGTTAAATCTGCTTCCTAGAGAAACCCTTTTGAGGGCTCTTTCCCAAATTTGCCCTGGACCAGAACAATCAGGAAGGGCAACATGGGGGAAAACAAAGGAACACAAGCACAAGACCTTTGACTGGACTGCACTGTCAGCTCCTTCAGAGGTTTCTCTGCTGACTGGGAGCCTGGCAGGCTCCTAAGGTTTCCTACAAGCACTGTCCTTGGCATGCAGCTGCACAAGAGGGGCTCAAGAAGGAAGGCAGTGTTGTGGAGAGAGACATATAGGCCTCATCTGTCCATGTAAAGGCCAAAGGGTCACTGTAGCGGCCAAACAAATGGAAGAACGACGTCATTCTTCAGGCAAACATTGGGTCTCTGTGGTAAAAAGGTGCCAATGTCCAAGGTTGCAGAGGGTGATGTTCCTGAGGGTATGATGTTTGTCCAGCAGTCCTTGTGCTATACTTTCCTCCAGGAGTACTGGCCTACAGGATGGGGAGAAAGAAATTAAAGCAGATAATCAAACCTATAGGCCTAGAGTTGGTGAATGACTGTAGTGTGGATTCATATAAACTGCAATGCTGATACACCATTTATACAGCATCAGAGTTTTCCACTGAAAAGTTTTGTTAAGCAACTGATGCCTATATAACTTGAATCAAAATTACAAAGTGCTTATATAGCTTGAGTTATAAGATACCAATATAACCTGATGTATCTATATAACCTGATATCAATATAACCTAAGTCATGACTTTCTATATATCTCTATAACCTGATACCTATTTAACCTGAACCACAGCTTTTTATACCTATATAACCTGTCATAACTTTCATATCTATATAACCTGACATAAATAACTTTTTATACAATGTAATGGCTAGTATATTGTTAACAAGTTGCTTAATGCTGATTAGACAAAAGAAAAGGAAAAGAAATTCACAAGGTGGATAGTTTAAGAGATAGATAGGTATAGTACTAATGAAAAACTGGCAAGTGCAAAGCCAGTTAGCCACAAAACAAAGAATTTAGGCCAGTTAAGACCAGAGAGACCAAGGAACAGCATAACTGCACATGCTCTGAAGACAAAGCTGAAAATTTCAGATGCAAAGAAGACTTTGGAAGCCTTCATCAAAGATTCTCGATGACCCTCAAATTGGGCTGGTGAAAGCAGAGTGCAAAACATTTATAACCATGAGATCACACTATGTAAATTAGTTCAGGCATGTATATGATGTTGTTTTAGTGACACAGTAACACTTATTAGTAAGCAATTCTTATTGTATAAATACGCCACAGACCTTGGCAAAGGTGGGTGAGTTAGGAGGAGAAATCTCCCTCACCTCCATTGCTGCAATAAACAAGTACCTGCTCCGTAGACACCAGTCTATGTGCTTTTACTTCCAGCCTATATTTTGGGCATCACAACAAAGAAGTTTGCATGTCATTGAAATATGGGTGGGTATGTGGGATTTTGGGGAGAAAATTTGGCTTGCAGCTGTGCACATCAATGTAGGCATGTTTGGTCTGACAACCATGATTTACACATGTACATTGTGTTACAGGACATTAGAACTTGCTCCTTCATTAAACCTGATACTATAGCAGCATATTTTGCCTTTTTATATACCATCTGGAAAATATATTTCCATGATGGATTTTCCAGTGAGGGAAAGCAGTGTAACACTTAGGAAGTCACTGAAATGGCACCAGCCTAGCAGAGCTCAAGAAGAATTTGGATGATACTGTTATATGTAATAAAGATAATTCACACTGGTATAATATGATGTATGTAATATTTAATATTACTGGGAGGTTGCACAAGTCAGCACTGGGAGTTGCCCTCACATATTTGGAAACCAGTCCCTGATAAAACCTCATTTACAAGCTAATACATGTGTCGCACCCAGAGATGGTTGATACAGGGACGCCTGGGTGATGATCATCCTGATCATCCCGGCAACAACTTGAGATTGGAATTGCTGCAACCCTCCAGGGTGATATATCTGAATGCCATGTTCCAGTAACTACATCAGGGAGGTTCATCACTTCCCGGACACCGAATTGTTCAACGCAACACAGAGAAGAGAGACTTTATGAATATGTGGGACTTTGAATGGAAAGAAAAGGCTGATCGCTGAAATCCCGGCCTTGGGCGAAATATTTCCTATAATAACCGCTTGTACCAGGAGGGTGGGGTGTGGCAAAGGGAGACCCTCTGCTGGAGCAGTCAAACTTGTGACCCATCCAGTGCCGATCCCGGGCTCAGCATTGTCCTTTTCTTTGTGGCTGGCTCAGATAGAATTTGATCACTAGAATATTTTTTTTTATGTTTTTTTTTTTTTTTTTTTAATTCGGCTGGGTCAATATTCATTTATAATAATACCCTTGGGCACATGGTGTGACTTTTGGGAATGGTGCTGTGCAGGGCCAGGTGTGGGACTTGATGGTCCTGACAGGTCCCTTACAATTCAGCATAGTCTGCGTTCTGCCAGTTGTCAACACCTGGACATCACTTACAGCTTGTTGCCTGCTTGATTAAATCTCCCTTCCTGTCGATTAGGCCTGAAAGCACACAAAGTCCAAACATCAAAGAACGCCTTTTCCGAAGGAAATTTCCATACATTCCACTTCCCAGCGAGGGGACGGGCTTGATAAGATGGACTACATTTCCTATGAGGCTTTGCGGGGCGCGGCAGAAATGCATCCCCCCAGTGGCCGCGGAAGGAGCCCGGTGCGCCCTCACCATGGCGGCGGTGTGGGCGCTGCGGGTAGCGCCGCGGCAGAGGCCGGAGCTCGGCCACGCGGGGCTCAGGGTGTTCTGGGGTGGCCGCAGGTACCCGCAGGGCATAGAGTGGGAGTGGCTTCTGGCCTTCTCCTCATGCTGGGCCTTCACCGGGCCGTGGCCCTCTGTAGGTCATTTAGCCTGGCATCCCCTGAGCAAGTTCTCAGGGTTTGTCCTGGCGGCTTTGGAATGTTCTTAGGGAAGGAGGCTCACAGGTTCTCTGGGCAACCAGTGCCCACCGAGGTGCAATACTGGCGGGGGTGCAGCGGTGCAGGGTTGGTGTCTTTAGAGCTGTTACTGCTGTTGTTAGGAGTGGGGAGATAGGGATTTGTGGGAATGAAAAACAGTTCCTCTGTAACATTTTGCGTGAAACTGAAATAAGAGATTTTCCAGAGATCACCTGAGATAACAAAATGAATGTATCAAAAATGAATGTATCAAAAAAATGAATGTATCATGTTTGTAGAATCATGTGTTGAATTTTAAGAAACCTCTGCCATGGCGCAAAAGGCATAGGAAAGAGAGAGAGAAAAAAAAAAAAATCTTTAAAGCTTCTTGTAAAAAGACAAATACCAGAGAAGACCAGGAATGCAAAGAACTCAGATAAGGAGGCCCCTCTGTCAAGGATGATGAACTTACCCAGATAAGATAGCAGAAGACTAAAAGCGCATGCGCAGAGGAGAAGAGTTCAAAAGTTCAATGCAGAGGAAGACTATGGTTTCAGCCTCAAAAGACCATCAGAGACCCCTGAAAAGACCATCACAAAAAACCACGCATGCCCAGAAGGGCGTGGACCTATTTAGCATGAGAGGCGAAGACAGGCGGGGCCAGGGGTTGAATATACATAGGAAAGTTGTGTAATGTCTTGCATATGGAACACCTTTGTGAATAAAATTGTGGGACAAACTCCAGCTCGGGGCACAAGATTTTGGAGAGCTATCTCACTTGTGCCGGGCGCTGTCATACATACCCACTTCATAACTACATTGAGTTGTGGAGTCTATTTATTTATTCTGCGTATCGCTTTAAAACCACGCATGGGTTGTTGACTAAATTGGGGCATACAAGAAGGTAAATTTTTTTCTTAGAAACTAGTAATGATTTTTTTTTTACGTATGGTGTAATAAATAAAAAGGTCTTTGTTCTTCAAAACAAGCATTGAAGGACATAAGAATTTGAACTGAGTAGAGAATGCAACTAGCATAGAAGACTGTGTAACTAATTACATACAAGTTAACTTTTAGGCCAAGGACAATCTACAAGGAAGATGAGGAGCCTTCATTCCTATGACCACCAAGGGCAGAAAAAAAGACCCCCTAGCAACCAATTGCACCAGTGCAGAGTGCATTGAGAGAAAATACGTCAACTGGAAAAATAAAAGGAACTATAAAAACAAAAAGGTCAAAGGGGGAAGTGCGCCATGGCAGAGACTCCCCAGCCACCCAGCGCTGTTCTTTTGCTTAATACTGCTTGCTTAATAAATTCTTGTTAATTGATTTATCTATAATTAGCCTCCACAATTGAATTTGTCCATAACATATGGGCACTAATTTTCATCTGTAATAGTGGTTATTTTCTGAAATGCTCTTTATTCACAGCAAAATAGGAAATGGAGCCGTAGAAAACAAGTAACTAACCTTGTTAAAATCCTGACTTCACTCAGAGCAATAAAATAAAGTGGGGGTGTGATTGCTCTGCAGAGGCAGCCTGTGTGGGGAGCAGCACTTGGGGAAATCCTATGCACTTCTGGCTAACAGACCTGGTGAGTCCATGGGATATGTGGAGTGTCTGGATTGAGTGGTTTAAAACACCACGAGTACAAAAATGCTCTGACTCTGTCTTGTGTAGCCCAGAGGATAAACATGTGTTCTGGTATCAGCAGGGAAGAGGAGAGAGAAATGGAAGCAGACCAAGCAGTTCCTGAGAAGGAGGAGAACAGCAAGCCCAGCATTATCCCCCTCCCCCAACGCCGCCGGAGCTACACACCTCCCGAGGACCTGCAGAGCTGCCTCAACCTGCAGAGCTGCCTCGAGTGCCATGTCAGGGAGGTCTTCGGGCCCTCTGTTCCCGAGGACTGGCAGCAGGCTCCCCTGCAGAACAGGCTGAAGTATCACCTGCTGGCTCAGCTGGCGGCAGAGCTGGGACACGCTATGTCCAACTCGAAGATGCACTGCATGTGCTGCGCTGGGGACGTGCTGGGCTTCCACTGCACCCCTGTGAAGGATGGCACCAAGATTGATGAACTCGCAGCCGCAGAGCTGCCCCCAAACCTGAAAATCATCTGGCAGCAGTGAGTCCCCCGACAGAGCATTCCTGTGCCTGGCTGGTGCTGTAGGGCAGCAGCAGAGCCAGCTGGTTGGGGTGAAATATCTGTGACTTTCAGTAATAAAGATTCACTTAGCTGTGCTCGGGTTTGGCTGTTCCTGTTCTGCTCTTTTTTCCCTGCAGACCAGTTCCTGCGAGGCACTGGTACAGCACGGGCACTGCCAGCTGTCCCCTGCCCTTTTCCTGCTGCCAGGAACTGACAGAATCCAGTAGGGATCAACAAGGGGACCATCTCCACAGTTTCTGCTCTGCACTTCTGTGTTGGTTTTGGCTGGGGTAGTGTTAATTCTGTTCCTAGGGGCTGTTATGGGGCTTTATTTTTGACCTGTGCTGAACTCAGGGCTGAAAATAGAGAGATGTTTTTGCTACTGCTGAGCACAGTAGCTTGGCTTGCACAAAGCCAAGGCCTTTCCTGTTACTGCTACACTATTGAGGGGATTGGAGGTACATAGGAGGGGACACAGCCAGGACAGGTGACCCAAACTGACCCAAGGGGTATTCCAGACCATATGGCATCAGGCTCAGTGTGTAAAATGGGGGAAGAAGGAAGCAGGGGACATGTGGAGTGATGGCATTTGTCTTCCCAAGTCACTGTGATGTGCAATAGGATCCTGCTCTGCTGGAGGTGGTGAACACCAGCCCAGCCATGGGAAGCAGGGTATTAATTCCTTATTTTGCTTTGCTTGTGTGTGCAGCCTTTGCTTCCCCTATTAAACTGTTCTTATCCCAGTGCATGAATTTCCCAGCTTTTACTTTTCTGATTCTCAGGACCATGGCAGTGTGCTCTCCTGCTGTTCACACTGTGGCTCACAGAGATCTCCTGCTTTTCTTCTGTTTCACTGCTGTGAAAGCTAATGCCTACGTGGCCACTCTGAGGATGAGCTTGGCAAGCACTGAAGCATAGATGTCAAGCTCTGGAATACTTTTTCTAGGACTGATGAATGCTACTGTAGCTGTCTGCCAGCTGGATTTCTTTGTACTGTCCCTGGTTGGCCCAGATCTGGCTGTCATGACAATTGAAGGAGTTGCCAACAGGACTGGTGTGAGGATTAGTTTGTGCTAGCCTTCAGGGTGTTGTGATCTTTCCATTTCCCTTTCTCGAAGGAAAAAAAAAAACAAACAAAATATGAAAATTTGTTCAGTTAACCTGTTTCATATCTTACCGTATGTCAGTAAGAGCTCTCATGGAATGAAACATTCAACATAGTCAAAATTTATGATTTCTTTCCAGAGTATGAAACAGTGGGTTTTATAACACACAATTCAGTTGAGTGAATTTTTATTTTGCTTTTCCTCATATTTACTTTCACTTGAAAACATCAGAACACAGCATAATTGCAGTACAGTGTGGCCTACGTAATTCCATGAATTTGTGGAACATACCACCGGACTTCACAACTTTACATCCCTGAGTTGTGGATCAGATGGGATACATTCTCCTTCAGCTTCCAGACAGGTCCTATTAAAGGAAAAAGTAACCATTTCATTATTTTCTCTAGAGATCAGCTGTCTGCCTTTTTTTTCATGAGGTCACATAGAAATTCCTGTACATGAAAGAGCAGTGTATATTGTAATCTTTCCAAAAGTATAGTCACAGAAAGTAAAACAATACTCATGAAATTCTGCAGGAGAAAAACATAGGTATTTCAAATAGCATATTCTATTTCTAGAATGCTTTCGGTAAGTCTGTAATAATTGGATCTCCTCTTCCTGGAGATTTCACACCCTTAGAAAAAGGCAGATCCCTGCAGAATAATTTGTATCTACACAATTGTGGATTCTTTGGCACTCTTTTTACTTCTGTTGGCAAATGGAATAGTAACATATCAGGAACACACAATTTACTAACTGGTTCTTCAGGCAGTCAGATTATAAAGGAAAATATAGACAATGGTCATAAATTCATAATGGAAAGCTGGACAATGACAACAAGCCTCATGTCTTCATTTCCCTGTCTCCTGAAGCTGGAAGTTTCTCTTCTTTCTTCCCCTGCTAACCAGGTGGCAAAATCTGTTCCAGAATCACTGACAAGATCTTTTCAGTTCACGGCTCTGGAATCGGAGCAAGGCAGGAAAGCCAGGGGTTCTTAAAAAACCACAAAAAAACCAGTAAAGAGTAGAAAAAAATTGTCTTCATTTGCTACTAGATGTGCCTAGAGGGAAAAGGGGAATGCTTGTTTTGTGTCAGCTCGATGATGATTTGGGCCAAAATCAAAGTACTTTGGAGGGTGCAGTTCAGCCTGTTTCCGGTTGTGTGTCTATGAAATGGACTCATCTGAGAGTACCGACCATGGCATTAGCAGGTAGATGAAAACAAAGGGAGATCAATATCTGTAAGAATTACAGAGTCTCTAAAATTTACAAACCACAATAAAGAATAGAAATTTAATGAGCAAACATATAGTCTACAAAGGATGTAAGAGTCAGAGATCACAGTAGTAAATATGGGTCTTTGTTCACAATTTGCGCACCTGGTGGGGCTGTCTTCTGCTCTTTGGATTGTTTTTATCG